ACAGTTTGCATATATCACTATGATTGCTGTAAGGGTGGTTTTTTTTTTTAAATAATTTCCAGTCTACAAAAGGATCTTTGTTGTTTTTTTCTTTTAATTTTAATTTAAAAGCTTTGCATGTTTTATTTATTTATTTATACGTCTATTGTGCACTTTTTAATACAACTCTTTCTTAGTCTAATACGACTCTGACCAATAACAGCTTTATAATTATATATATATATATATCTGGATCATCAGACTTTACTTCCAAAAGCTGAAATGAAAGTAAAGTCTGATGATCTAGAAACCTGTTAAAGGGGTTATGGTGAAATAGCTTATTACATGGAATCTTAACGTGGTCTGTTTTTTATTCAAACATATCTGCTCTGAATTTTACATTGAGCTCTCTGGATTTCATCCTCCTCGGGTCTACCCATACGGATTACCTAAGTTTGCATAAACTATATATATATATATATATATATATATATATATATATATAGGCTATGGTATTATATATATATATATATATATATATATATATAGAGAGAGAGAGAGAGGAAGAGATAGATAGATAGATAGATAGCCTATGTTTCTGTCATAAATCGATGAACTTTTGTTCAAAAGTAAAGAAAATGCATTAATTTGCTTTAGTTCTTGAAAATGGTGACTCCCATGCCAAATTCAATGTTACCATATGCACAATAAAGGTAGGAATCAAGATATTTCAAAAGCAATAGTTTTCAATTTGCTCATGATGTACTTCGATAGTACTTATGTATTTTAACACTTTTAAGAGTTTATAGCCATAACATCGCATGCAACTTCACAAATAAACAAAAACAATTTCGAGAAAGAAATAGACGGGTCCAAAAAATCGTAGTACTGATATATGATTTTAGAATTTCGTGTTACGGGTGACATAATAAACTGAATTAATCCCTTCTCCATTATTTATGAACAAATGTTCATCGATTTATAATACAGGAAATCATTTGACAAAAGATCAAAATGTTATAATCATATATATATATATATATATATATATATATATATATATACATATATATATATATATATATATATATATATATATATATATATATATATATATATATATATATATTCAAACAAACAGGTTTGGTTAAATAATTTAGACATATCATATCGATCTATTTTGATTGTGTTCCTTTCAAGTTTACGGATTTATTTCTTGGTAGCCTTAGAAAATTGATTAAGAAAGATACCAAAATTTTCTTTGAAATAGTCATTTTTCCAAGTATTTTCAATCTCATCTGAGATCATCTTCAGGGGGTTAAGTTGCTTGTGGGTGTGTATATATGTTTCTGTAAATTCAAATGTTCGCTTTACTGCTTATGCAGCGTTCAAAATTCAAAATTCTCATCTTATATATATATATATATATATATATATATATATATATATATATATATATATATATATTGGCTGAAAATGATTGTTTAGACATATGTCGTTAAATATTACAGAAGTTTTTCGTTTTTTATCTTTCTTTTATTCTTTCCATTTGTGCTATCATTCGTGTGCCGGAGTCCAGTTGATTGAAGAGGAAACCTCTATTCGTTTTCCAAGTGCTCTGGATCATTGTTGATTATCATTATGGGGTATATTCTCTTTACTTTGTGATTTAAATTATCTCCTTTTTTATTAGATTGGGTGCGAAAATTGCTGTTTCAAACTTAAAATAGTTATATACAAAAATAACTGTAAAAACGCTTGCAAATCCTCGAAGGAACTGGTATTAAATTTAAAATCCTAACTATAAACAAAATAACATTTAACACTAATATAATAAACATCATTAACAACGGATAAGTCCATTTAGTAATACCTAAACACCCCTATGAATAATAACGCCGTCTGCTATATAGAATCAATGACGAACTCCAACTAAAGGTTTACAGAAAATCGACCAGCAAGAATGGATTCATAAACTCTTATTCTCATTACTATAATAGAATAAATATAGAGTCAATTGTATGATTTTATTTAAGAATCTGAAGCCCCTATTATTTACCGGAAAATATATGCTGAAAATTCTTTTAAAAATCTCCATTGTCCTTACTATTTCATTCACAATGCTAAAAGAAGCCTATGCAAAATAAGAGAATAGCAATAACTACAACAACAATAATAATATAACAACTGCAGTAATAACAATAAGTTACAAAAAATATTCATATATTATTACCGACAAACACTTTAACATCTATATATATATTCAATCTTAATATTAAATTATTTACAACTACATCTAAAACTGTTATCGATTTGATCAGAACCAAAAACGTCCATAATAACAATAATTCAGAAGGAAGGAAGGGAAATATTTTGCTTAGATAAAAAGTTCCTAAAGTACAATTATTGATTCTTGCCAAAATAATATCTTACGTCTTTGATTTTTTTCAAATATCTTCTTTCTTAAAAGGAATGCGCCTTTTTCAGGCCAACATTTTTATGCATTACCTCGATTGTTTCGGTGATACGGTCTTGCACATTTCTGATATATAAAGCCATAGTTACCCAGGAGAGTTACTATATTTTCTTTTTTTTTCATTTTAGGCTTTTTTTTAACATTATGCAGAAACAATATAAAACCTTTTTCTTCTTATTCTTCTTCCTGCACCGTGTCCTGTCAGGACGTAGGTGATCATGGCTGTCCTTTATAGGTCTTAATAAATGTTGTCTTTTTGTTATTTCTCCCAAACCTTGTTCCGCCATCCATTTAGTCAAGCTCACTAAGTAGTTTATGCGTTGTTTTCTTCTTTCTATCTTGCCTTCGATTTGCCCAGTGAGTATTAGATATACCAAGCCCTCTTTCCTCATTATGTGTCATAAGAATTTCAGCAGTCTCTTAAGTTAAATATAAGTTTCCATTTTGTTTCCATTTTCTCTCGAACTTCGTCGTTGCTCACATATTTGGTCTATGGTATACTCAGCACCCTTCTGTACAACGACATTTCATTGTCTTCCAATCTCTTCTTCCCCAAAACTGTTTAGAAGCATTAATGTATTTGCTTTGATCTACTTTGGTAGCACGGAATGTGGGGTTCGGATACCTCACATTAAATTCGGCCCTGTGCCACATGTGACTACTACTCTATGCGCCGCTGGCGAATCTTATATGTGTTGCTCTTGTCCTAAGTATTATCGTTCATTACCAACCTTCGTTTGATTATTCTATTCAGTAAACTTCCCTAGCTTATAACAGTTTCTAAGAAGGAAACCATGTAATTTAGGCAACACACAATCTCCTCATACTCGTCACCACAAGGAATGGATAACGGCACGGAATTGGAAGTCGCAGAGCGGCTTTCCAATTCCTTTCGGGTTCGTTATATTAATTTATGCTCAAATGCCGTTGGGAAAGGTATGAATCCGCATCTATCCCCAGTTAGTGGTTAATTAGTGGGACGTCGACTCCGTCTCCAAATTTTCTTACGATCTAAAAATATTTCCTAGCTTTATTTAAAGCTAGAAAATATTTTTAGATTGTAAGAAAATTTGGATTTAAAAAACAAATCAATTAACTAACCACCGATGAACTGCATTTTGACCAAACGGGGCGTTATATTTATCTTGCGAGATAAACAGGCGCATACTATGTTTGTGATGGGTTATGGGTAAAAAAAGAACGCGAATAACAAAGGAAATTGACGTCTTATGACTGATGAAGCTCGAAGAATATATCTCCAGTTTTTGGTTCTTCTTCTTCTTCTTCTTCTTCTTCTTCTTCTTCTTCTTCTTCTTCTTCTGTGTGCCATGTTCCTTCAGGATGTTGGCGATTATGGCTTCTTTTCTTGTAGCTCTTAATAACTTTTGTCTTTTTACCATCTCTCCCAAAATTTGCTTCGCCATCCGTTCGCTCAAGCTGACCAGGTTTGTTATACATTACTTTCTTCTGGCACTCTTACATTCAATCTGTTCTGTGAGTATCAAATTTTCCAAGCCCTCTTTTTCTCATTATGTGCTCCAGAAATTTCATGTGTCTTCCTGATGTACTTATACTTAAGCATAAGTACAGAGTTGCCATTGTTTCTAGAACTTTGTCCTTGCTCACATGTTCGATCCATATTCTTAGCATCTTCCTGTAGAACCACATTTCTATTGCATCAAGTCTTTTCTTCATCTGTGACAAAATTGCCCCAGCATTTACTGCCATAAAAGAGGATTGATTTTATATAACCTTTCAGTACTCATTTTGTTTTCTTCTGACAATATTTATCTGTTTCTCAACACTTTGCGCAGCTTTTAAATCTATCTCACTCTCTATCTATCTATCTCTCATTCACTTTTTTCTCTCTCTCTCTCCCCTCACAAAAATAGATTCCCGGCATTCGTAGGAATCCTATTTTATAGATCGAGCGAGATAGCATGATCATTTGGCATTTTCCAAATATAGAAATATGTGAAACTGTAATTGTTTATACTGTCCAGAGTATAATAATGAAATCACATAAATTCAAAGCAGCGAAAAGCCGTCAGCTATGATATTTTTAATATCAAAGGATAGTTGTCGCCATACAACCTTCAGCGATAGCAGACAACAAAGATTACTGTAAATAACATCTACTGTCTGAGAAAATTCAAAGAAATAAAGAGAGGAAACATATAAATAATAACGAAATATAAATATTATTAAAGCTAAGTAGTGTTTCAAGAGACACACACGCACACATATACATATATATACAGCTAATAATGAAATATATATATATATATATATATATATATATATATATATATATATATATATATATAATAAACGAATAATAATATGAAATATATTAAAAGAAATATTGAAAATAATGATGACAGGAATATAAAAAACAACAGAAGAAACACACAAAAAAAAATTGGAAAAAAGTATATTGAATGACCTACGTATGAAAAGGACTATTTTTAACCATTTCACCCCAAGCAAGGTGATAATGCCACTATGGTGCAAGAGATTACATAGAGTGAAAGAGGAGACGACTTTAGTGAGGAGAAGCGAGGAGAAACGACAAGAAAGTACGCGAGGAGAAAAGACAAAAAGAGGAGAAAGGACAGCAAAAGAAGTGAGAAGAAATGACAATAAAAATGGGGATAAATGATAAGAGAAATGTGGAGAAAGTAGAATAAATTGTGGAGAAAGGACAACAAAAGAAGTGTGGAGAAAGGATAATAAGACAAGTGAGGTGAATGGACGACAAGAGAAGTGAGGAGAATAAGAGAAGTGAGGAAAACGGAAAATAAGAGAGTGAACAGAAAGGAGAACAAAAGAAGTGAGGAGAAATGACAATAAAAAGAACTGTGGAGAAAGAGACCAAAAGAAGTGAGAGAAAGGAGAATAAGTGAAGTGAGGAGAAGAAACAATAAAAGAACTGAGGAGAAAGGACAGAAAAAAAAGAGAGGTGAAATGACAATGAGAGAAAGGAGAATAAGAGAAGTGAGAAGAAAGAACAATAAGAGAAGTGAATAGAAAAGACAACAAAAGAAGTGAGAAGAAAGGACAATAAAAGAAAGTGTGGAGAAAGGACAACAAGAAGTGAGAAGAAAGGAAAACAAAAGAAGTGGGGAGAAGAGAAGTGAAATGACAATAAGAGAAGCGAGGAGAAATGACAGTCCAAAGAGTTTGTAGAGTCCAAAGATAAAGATGCTTGAATAAATTTACTATTACAATATATATACAAGTTTTTCCTTTCCGAACTCTGTATACATTTTTTAGGCGGATATATATATATATATATATATATATATATATATATATATATATATATATATATAGGGGGGCGTCAGTTTTGACGGCAAAAAGTAGACTAATGATAAATGTTGTCATTACTGAGTGAGGTTTTTAGTGCAAAAGATACGAAATGGTAGTATAAATATATATATATATATATATATATATATATAATACGTAAATATATATATATATATATATATATATATATAGAGGGGCGTCAGTTTGACGGCAAAAGTAGACTAATGATAAATGTTGCCATTACTGAGTGAGGTTTTAGTGCAAAGATACGAAATGGTAGTATAAATATATATATATATATATATATATATATATATATATAATACGTATATATATATATATATATATAAAATACGTGTCAGACAAAAAGATTAAACACCACTAATTGGCAGGAAACTCAAATTAAAGACGTCCAAGTTTTATGAGAAACAACTGCCTTTAAATGTCAAAACCACGAAACCAGTCAACCAATTAAAAAAAAGTACTTTTAAATCAGGAAACCACAAACTGACTAAACGAAAGACAGATGACTGAAATTCCTTAAAAGAACTATATTTTAAAACAAAAAACAATCCTGAAAACAATAAAATAAATAAAAAAAAAGGTTGAAGCGTCAAAACATTACTCAAGAAGAACAAATATACGTCTCTAATCATCAGAGAGGTTTCGACTGCACACTGCAAACCAATACGATATCTCATCTTCAGTATGGTTGCCCTTCTTTGACCTCGCCAATCTGCATAGGAACATTTGTTTTTTTTTCAACATCCACAGAGCCAACCTGTAATTTATACTGCAGCTATATTGAACGAATGTTAGTTGCAGTTATTTAACCCACCAGGATTTCATACAGTTTTAAATTCAGGGCTACCCTTTTCCTAGACCTGTGTGTTGACTTCAATATCCACTTTTATAGTTATATTTACATACATCCTATCCCTGATATTGAACACTTTAACCCATAAATCTAGCATACTTTCAAACTATACTTTATCATATATATATATATGTGTGTGTGTGTGTGTGTGCGTGCGTGTGGGTATGTGTGCGTGTGTGTGTGTGTGTGTTTCAATATTAAACACACTTCAATATAAGGTCCCATGAGGAAAAAACACATTATTTAATATTTGCTGCTTCTCTTTTATTGTAATAGCTTTCAGAATTTGTAGCCTTTATTCGCACTGGGCCCTGAATATAATTTGTCTAATTTCAATTTTTATTTTGTTTATTTGTCATATGTTCATCCATATTTTGGACGAATTGTGTTACATTTTTACAAATGTATAGTTAACCTACAATTGCACGTGGTGTTTGTGAGGTCAAATGTAAGAAATTTTACCCTTAAGCCATTGGCGCACAGCAGGGATGAAGGTGAATTTAGATGTATTTTTTTAGACAAACACGCCAGTGACCGGAGAACTCGATTCGTTTTAACGAAGAGTCTTGCATCAGCAGCAGTAATAGTCATTATTTACAAATATATATATATATATATATATATATATATATATATATATAGAGAGAGAGAGAGAGAGAGAGATAATTATGTAGTAGGGCTGGGTAAAAGAGGTAGTCAATGGGAGCTAGACAGGATTGAACGCAAATTTGACACTGAAAAGTTTGTTTGCGCCAGAATGATGGTATGTTCTATCTCCGAGATGGTGACTTTTTCTCTAGATTTTTGGAGCAGTTTATACCAAGAACGTGGAAATTCCGGATAACCTACAGTGGAAACGTGGCCATTACAGACACCCGCAAATGATGAAATAATGGGATCGAATCTGACCCCCTTAGCGAAGGCGAACATTGCATCAAATATCATCCCGTGCCACCAGTTGTGCCGCTAAACCCGCTCGTCAACGCACTGCATTGGTGCACTTCATTCGATGTTATTTCCTTGACATAGACCAGGTTCCTTATTGACATAAACAACATCGGTTACATCGCCTAAAATGAGCAAGAGAATACTGCCATCACACTCTGAAAAGAAACTTTTTCACCCATTCTAAGAAACAAATGAGATAGAATGAGAATATTCATGAAGATTGTCAGCAAGATTTTATGCATTCTTTGGAATGTGCTCTGTTGGATTTCGTAACTAGAATCTATCATGTCTCTCGTCCTTCTCGCTTGTGCATCACTCTTCCGGCTTCTTACTTTCCAGTCAACCTCTATCGTCAAAAATTTAAATGCAATGTCAATAAGCCGTTTCCTTATAAGGAAACATTCGGAATTCATTGACCAGTACTGATTTCGGTTGAAATTTACAAAATCATTCCTTTAAAATAATTTTTCAGGAATGTAGGTTTCTCAAGTTTCTTTCCATTATTGATGGACGTTTCCTTTCTAACCTTATGTAGTTTGTAAAATCAACATTTTGATTACGTCATCCATTTACATGTGCTATCCGTTTTAGTTGCTTCTGCAGTTCGATGTCTTCAGCTGAAGTGGTTTCTGTTATTTGGTACAGTTCTTGAGATTTTGTAGCGCCAGTCCACAATGTTTGAAGAACTTTGGCAAGATCCACAGGCTCCACTCATTGAAAGCCATTTTTAATCGTTGATCTTAGAAAATGAAACGATTGTATAGAGCTGACAGTTTAGATATTTCCGAAGGGGCGTGGCGCCATGCATTGTATCCATATGAATGTCTCAAGTGACAAAATCGCATTCAACATCTCTATGGAATATAAATAAATAATGATTGTATTTGAGGTTAAAAGTATTTCGTTGCGAAGTGGCACTTTTCAGGTGAGGTGCCCATTTGTAGACGATGGAGGAAGCGTAGTCTAGGCACAGCGAGGGGGCAAGTATTGTCTATCCCATCTCTCTCTCTCTCTCTCTCTCTCTCTCTCTCTCTCTCTCTCTCTCAGGGGGAGATAGGGAGAGAGAGACGATACCTACTGCTGTGTAATGGTTAGTAAACTCGTATTGAAAATCAACTCCCTCGTATAATGAGTCTGATTCACCCCAGGCGCCCCATTTCTCCGGGATGGTTCGAGATCAGTAATTTTTAAAGGAAGCCAAACGACCTCCTTGTGTGGTTTGGCATAGACTGAAAACTTCGAGAAGAACCTCTGCGGAAGCCATTGCAAAATACAATGAGACGACTTTCTCTTAACATATTCGCTTTTGTGTGAATTCAACAGTTTCCTTGACCAAAATACAGAAATAATGTTACAACAAAAGGTGACCCCAAATCTTACTGATATCAGAAAACTTTAACCCCTACCAATAAAGAAAAAGCAAACTAAATGATTTGATAGATAATATATTTTTTCAAAGTTTGTTCCAATATATGGAAATGTTCAAATCTTTGATCTAAAAATTTAATAAAATTTCCTGTATCAATTCTATTTTTTAATCATGTCAACCCACAAAATGCAATGTGGCCACTACGATGCAAGGAATTACTAAGTGTAAAAGAATATGGCGAAAAAAAAACATTAAAGAAAGAGAACAACAAAAGAACAGGAATTAAGAAGACAGATAACGATTGCATTTGAATTTTTGAAAATCAAAATTGACTGGAAAGCAAGAAGACGAAAGAGACTTCCACAAGGGAGAAGTGAAGGAGAAGAAACTCTTAGCATAGAACTTGCGGTTACATCTAGAAATTTCTAGTTACCTTGGAGGAAAGCTAATCAAAACAATTACCATGAAAGTATTTATAGAAGATTTACAGGGAAACTACATTACGAAGCCGAGATGCCAAGTAACATTGCAGATTCTTCTTTGGATTTCACCAAGAATCTCAAAAAAACATAGCAGTAGCACCAGACCAGATGTGGCAGACATATTCAAGACATAGACGACTAGTAGACTTATAACCATATAGAGATATAAGAATCATTTATCTTTAAATTTTGTAGGTGTTGAATGAATGCCGTTTGACCAATAAATTCTTAGCTTCATATAAGATGACTACAACAATTTGGCCTTTTTCAACAAATCATTGTGCAATGATAATCACTATTATTATTATATTTTTATCTGTGTATGTTATGTTTCCTGTAGAGCCGGGTCCTAACTATGGTCTTTAGACCCTATGGAATAATTGTCATTCAACTGATACCACTTTTATTTGTATATGGGATGTTCCTAGAGGGCAATCTTGTGGAAAACTTGTATGCTACATGGAACCTGTTAGTAAAATTGTCTATTCTCTTTCTCACGAGGCCCAGAGCTCCGATTACTATTGCTACAGTCTCAGTCTTTATTCTCCACATCCTGTTATTCTCAATCTCCAGGTCATTATTATTATTATTATTATTATTATTATTATAAACAGAATTGTTGACATAAATCTTCCAGTATCTCTTAAAGAAGAGCGCAATTTAAGAATAAAACAATAAATCAAAAGACACAGTATTTAACAATGTTTAACGATATTTCGATAGTGTTTCTTCAAGCCATGCATACAAGTGTAAAAAATGTACACACCTTTGTACAAATAGCGCTTGACTTGAGAAAAATCGTTGTACTGGCAATCAACGTGAGAAAGCGAATGAAATGCAGCCATTATGAATGGAATGCAACAGAAATTTGAGTCATATGAAGGGGATGTGTTCATCACGAAATATTCTGTCACTTGATTAGTTACTAAGAGCAATAAACCCTGTCATTTTGTTCATTTTCCTAGAGTCGAGTGTAATATAATTATTTTCATATGTTTTAAGAGTTAAAAGGACGTTGGATTTCTGGATATTTTTCATAATAATAATAATAATTTGTTTTTTACTGTTTATCAACCCATTGCAGGACATTTAAAGCCAGAAAACATTTTTCGATTATAAAAATATTTAGAAGATAATAATGATTTACTGATAAAACTCCTACTAATTAACCCCTCCGAGTGTGTGTGTGGGGGGGGAGACGTGTTGGATTCATATCTTT